AGAGTCGAGGAAGAAAATGATTGCTTAAGAATGGAATTGATCAGTATAATACTAAAATATTAAGCAATGGCGACTTTAGTAGTAGTAGAGAAGCCCCCTTTTGAAATATGAACTAAAAACACCTTTGGTTAGGAAAGATGTACTCAAACAATGGAATATGTACATATGTGTATGTAAAACATTATACGAATCTAGAGTATGTCTGAAACGTATTTCTAATCGAAGAATGTTGTATATACACAAATTAAATTTATTGCAGTACTCCAGTGTCAAGTATAAAGATTGTAAAGTGGATTTTATCAGACAGTTTTAATAAGAACTACATAGGTTCAAGTATATACATATATTATAATTATAATAATTTAGTGTCTTGGTAATAAAAAATTCTAGTAAACATTGAGTAACTATTAGAGTCGTAATAACACTTGCCTATATACCAACACTTGCAGTGGGACTTGTAAGGAAATTGATCTTAGAATCCGATATCTGATTCATATTAAGTAATTTTTGAAGAGTATTTTCGTTAAAGGTCCATTACTAGTTTCACAAAATATAAAATATTTGTATGCATATACATATATATGTATGGGCTTTATTCATAAACATTTTGAATTTTTAATACCGTCAGGAAGTTTCATAAGAATAATTCCGATTCCTTTACCTAATGTGAGAACATTAAGTTGAGTGGACAAATGTTAAGTTGAGTGTTCACACACGTAGCTTCGAGTTTACTTTTACCGAATTTACAGTTCGTAACTATATTTAATTTATATACAAGAAAATTCTTCAGAATTCAACAAAATTCTAACCTCAAAGTATTTTTTTATTTGTTAAAATAATTAACAAATAATTAACTATTACGCCGTTATGCACAAGAGTTCTGTTATAAATAGAATCTGTATCAAAGTCCGTAATTCATATAATATGAGCTGTATAAGATCCCATGTCCATAAATACGAGTTCCTTTCGTTGGTTAATTAGAGCAATTCGAATCTTTCATTTGACTCCCTTTAATTGAATCAATTTATTCCAATAATATGAGTAATTTCGAAGGAGCAGACTGTAGGGCAGTAAAGCTAAGCTCCAGCCTTCCCTTGACGGGACCCCAGATTTAATAGAGCCACAGACTAGCCTCAAAAGTCGAAAAGTTTTTTTATGGGTGACTCTGCGCACTTGGCTAAAACAAAGTCGAGGCAATAGCCAGGCGAGACATTGGGCCCAAGAATTTCTGCCGCAGCGTCACGAACCGCTGGAGCCAATGAGTGGGGCAAACGGGCCTTAAGACGAAATATTAATAGAGCATAAATTACGGCACTGAGCGCTGGAGTTGAGCAGCTGAACAGTTGACCAATCGAGCAGTTGATGCTGGAGCTGGTGCCTTTTCTCTTAGTGGGTTTACGACAATTTAAGGAGCTTGGCCCATACAGAAAAGGCAAACAAAAGCGAAAACAAAAGCAAAACCAAACAGAAATGATGAAGCAAAAGGCCAAAACGTGTTTGGCGACATTAATCACATTTTAATTAAGTTTAAGCCGTAATCGTAAAAATTAACACGCCATAATTCAACTGCGACAATGCGCTGCATGTAATTTATGTGCCACCAGCAAGAAAGCCAGAGAGAAAGAAAGAAAGAAAGAAAGAATCCCCTCAGATCCATCTGAGCCACTCAGCCACTCAGCCACTCAACCACTGAGCAAGCAGTCAAAATATTGATTATGGCCGCAGCGATTGACACTTGGCGATTGTCGATTGTCCCACGTAATTAACGTGCCAAAGTGTTAAGGCGCATAGGTCGTGGCCCCACAGACAACGCAGCGCACAACAACAGCAATAACAAGTAAGAAGACTCTAGTCGAGACTGTTCGACTAGGAGATACCCTGAACCC